TTCTTTAAAACCCACTTTCCTCTATTCTCTGCTCTGTATTTTCCCCAAAGTCCCTTATGTTGTATAATTTACTTTCTATAATGATAATTGGTAATCCTTCCTCATTAGACACCAAAATTCAGTGAGAGAGGGATTTTTGTATTTTATTCACTGATACATATATCCCTAGCAGATGCTCAAATTTTTGTTGTTGTTGTTGTTATCATCTTCTTTTGTAATCCCCTCACTTTCCAGATGAGGAAAGAGATCACCCAATGAGTACAGAAAAGAGCCAGGTAGAGGGACTATAATTCCCAGTCCAATGCTAGTTTTATTATAGCTGACTGCTTTCCTAACCCCTTAACATTACAGAAAAATCACAACCATTCACATTTTCCCCCAGGAGGATTTACCTTTGGAATGTCTTGGCCTTGTAAATGTTCTTGTGTCTATAACACAGAATGCTCTGAAAGGGGATAGAACCCTGACCTGGAATGCTAAGTGTTAGGAGATGAACAGAAGATGGCTGACTTAGAAGATTCTAATGTTGTAATTGTGGTTCTGATGACCCAGAAACAAGTTCTAAGCTAGAAGATGCTTGCCACTGTGGCTGGTTAGCAGACTGCTTCTGGATGCATGCTGGCTGACGCTGTGCTAAGTTTTTCTGAATGGGAAAAGTTTAACTATTATCTAATGCTTGAAACACTTAAAGCTGCTCTAAAGGCTGTATTATATAGTATTCCATTGTCGCTGATTGCAACCATTCTTCTAAAGGAGGTATAACCTGGATCATGGTTTTAATGGTCTTTGGAATACCTAGTAATGGCTGAATTTGGTTAGGTGCCTATGAATGAGGTACCTGCTGAAGAGCAGCATATTAGTTATACAAAAATTGCTGTTGATTTATGGAAACTTCTTGAGTAGTCAATTGATGAGTTTTCTGTGCTTGTCTATGACATGAATGAGTTATCTGCTGATGCTGAATGAAAGCTGAGTGAGAAAACTGGCTTGGTGTTAGATGTGATTGGGTAAGCTGTACTGAAAAATGTGGGGACTGGATGTGGGCCTGTGAAGAGGCCTGCTGAATGAAGGATATCTGCCCAGGGTTTTGAAGCTGTCCTTCCACTGCCCTCTAAGACATAATGCTACTTGACTAGGCCTGAGTGTTTAGCTGCTGGTGTCAAAAACTGGCATTTGCTTAGCATGGAGTTACTGAATGCTGGACATTAAATAAAGGTTCAGTAGAACACCTCTGTGTACCTAATGTTTTTGTATTTAACACTGATGTTAAATATATCTTTTGTTCCAACATTAGCAAATGCTACCTTGGGGTTGTGTTAAATAGGATTGTTACTCAGAAGTCTGTGCTACAAAAAGTGTATACAGAGTGTAACTTCTGATCTGCAGAATGTAACATGTACTTGATTGCCATGAGGAGGGTTTATTATGTATTGCTGGGTTCTAAAGGTTCCCCATGGGTGGCACCTATGGCTCAAAGGAGTAAGGCACCAGCCCCATATGCTGGAGGTGGTGGGTTCAAACCCAGCCCCAGCCAAAAACTACAAAAAAATAATATAAATAAATAAAGGTTCCCCATTCAGTTGTCTGGATGGTATAAACAGTTTGTCTCAAATGAGAGACATGATTAAGAGATAGTGCCTGACAAGCAGGCTATTCCATAGGTTGCACAGGGTAAGCTGTCTGGATCACATATGCTGGTTATTCTGGAAAAGATGACTAAACCAGAGGTTGCACTAGATAAGCAGGTTGCCCTTGAACTGGTGCCAAATAAGAGGGCATTACTGCAGGTGGGACTAGATAAAAAGTCTACATAGAAAAAACTGGTTGTGAGCCTGGTGGTTGAACAGTGTAAAGAGAACGCTCCAGGGTTGGCAGTGAATAAATAGGCTATGTTAGAGCCTGGGTTGGTAAATTGGCTGTGATGAGCTGCTCAGTGGCCCTGGATAAGTGGGTTGAACAGAATAAGATGGCTGTTCCAGGGGCTGAATCATACTTTCAATACCACTCTTTGGCTGCTACTAATTTGCAGAGAGCTTCAGGCTCTTCCAGAATACAATCCTACTGAATATTTTTCTGTGGTGATCTTAGGTTGTAAAATTAATGGCCGCTGCTGAACAGCAGCTTAGAAACAAGGGTCCTTCAAATGCAGTCTGGCTTTGTGGCATTGAAGAACCTGGAGTTATAGACTCCTGACAGGATATTGAATGTATCTTTTGTGAATGCTGATTGGCCCCCAAATGTCCTTCAATGGATAGAAGGGAGCTGCTATACCAGCAGCTTTCTGTGCACTGCTTACAAATGAGACAGAAGAATGATTCCACAAAGCTTAAGGGCTGGGTGGCACCCATAGCTCAGTGGGTAGGGCGCCGTCCACATACACTGAGGCTTGCAGGTTCAAATCCCAGCCCGGGCCAGCTAAAACAACAATGACAACTGCAACAGAATAAAACAGCCAGGTATTGCAGTGGGAACCTACAGTTCCAGCGACTTGGGAGGCTGAGGCAAGAGAATTGCTTAAGCCTAAGAGTTTGAGGTTACTATGAGCTGTGATGCCATGGCACTCTACCCAAGGCGACAGCTTGAGACTCTGTCTCAAAAAAAAAAAAAAAGAAAGAAAGAAAGAAAAAAAGAAGCTTGAGGGCAATTAACTGGTAAGAAACTAAAATTCTGACTGCCATCTTGTGCTTTGCTTAATGGATTTGAAGACCAATTGTTGGATGCTGGGAAGTCATTTGCGAAGGAGGCAATGTCTGAGAAGAAACTGCAGAAAGGATTGATTGTGGAACTCCAGTAAGTCTGAAGTGTTAGGTTGGGCTGAACTTTGTCCATCTTCTCCAAATGTCAGCATCAGTTCCTGGTGTTAGTACAAGGAAAATTCAAATTATAAATGCATATACTATGCCCATTTTAATGGGACTATCCCAGACAGATTGATATATAAAATAATACTATGCTCCAAAAGTTTCAAAAAAAATATCAAAAAGGGGCTAGGTATAGTACAGTACTAATCCTATAAAAATCATAATACCATGAGTAAATCCTAGTTTAATACACTAAGGGGCTGAGACAAGTCACAGTAATATGCTGCTCATGTCATTTACCACATAACTCATTGAAACTCTGGCAGAGATTCAGAATATCTGAATCTGATACTTTCACACACCTGATAGTGGAAGTCCCAAGAGAAAGATCAAAGGATTTCAATATCATAGCTAAAATGAACAAAGACAGTCTCTCAAGAAGGGAAGAAGTTGGCGGAAATATGTGTAAATATGGATTGGCTGTAATAACTTCTAAGAACGTGGGCAACCATGCTCATAAAAAGACCAAAATGGTCAAAGTGCTTACTTAGGCAGTTTCTATATATTAAGTAAAAAGCAAGCTACAAAAAATAGCATGTATATGATACACACATGCATATATAAAATTATGTATGTGTATATAAATAAAGACAAATCTAGAAGCTATACCTCAAATGGAAACATAAGTTGGCTCTAGCTAGAGCTAACAGGTGATTTTCACTCTTCTTCTTTATAACTTCATGAACTTTATTTTTATAAAAAATAAGCAAGTAAAAAAAAAATAAGTAAGTAACATTCACAATTAAAATAATTTAAATGTTTGGGTGGTGCGTGGCTCAGTGAGTAAGGGCACCAGCCCCATATACTGAGGGTAGTGGGTTCAAACCTGGCCCTGGCCAAACTGCAACAAAAAAAATAGCCGGGCATTATGGTGGACGCCTGTAGTCCCAGCTACTCAGCAGGCTGAGGCAAGAGAATTGCCTAAGCCCAAGAGCTAGAGGTTTCTGTGAGTTGTGATGCTATAGCACTCTACCAAGGGTGACAAAATAAGACTCTGTCCTAAAAAAAAAAAAAGAAAAATTAAATGTTGAAAATACTGTTCAAAATACATATTACCTGTATACTTATACTTATGTGGTTGAACATAAGCTAAATTTAAAAACCCATCCAACACATTTCAATATGAATTCAATTACAGATATCTACCATATCACTTATCAACACTAGCCAAATACCAGGCACCTTCAATTATATGAGACTAAATCTGTCCACAAAAGATTCTATATGCATCTGGCATTTATAAAGTACATGTATACTTTCCCTTATAAGACTGAGCTCCTTGAGGGCAAGGATCCTATTTTATTTTATCTCATATCCCTGGAAGGTGGTGATGGTTATTAAAAGTTTATTGATGAACTATGACTGACTACATGTCAGTCTCTTAAAGATGCACCAGCTGCTAGTTAAACCAGACATTCCCTGCTTGGCTAGAGAATGCTAGGCAAACAGACAATGCCCAGGAGCTTGGACTATCTCGCTCCCAGAGAGCAAAGGCACACACAGGGTATAACTGCTGAGGGGGTGAAGGAAAAACAGGGTGATGACAAAGAAAAACCCAACCATGTGTCCAGGGTCCTTAACCTAGGGAACTAGGATACAGTCTTGATAAATTAACTCACACAAAGACTATTTACTCATTGTCAGAAATGAATAATGCTGACTTGAAGAGTCTGAAAAATAAAAACATTTATTACTCCCACAAAAATGAACATGAACCCAAACAAGTGAAGAATTTAGATGGACCTGCTAAAAATTATGAAAGTCTATGAAATACTATTTCTAATCAACTGCAATAGATATCCCTCCATATTAAAACCAGTCTAAAAAAGTTCAAAACAAAGTACAAACCATCATTACCAAAAGGAAGACTTCCAAGTCCTTAATAAATCTTTTGTCCATACATACAGAGTTCTCTATTTTCTCTCCAATTATACAAGTAGTGTCTCAAGATTCTAGTTACACAGTATTAGGCACACCCTCAAGAGGAATGTCTTGCATGAAGGAAAACATAAAAAACTTAGCTTTCAATGATCTTTATCTAAACTATGCTGAGTTTATGAAAGAGAACCTGCCTATTAGAAAATCTAAGCAGTGTTAAATTTGTTTAAATGAATACAGAGCCTCTAAAATGTGCCTTACCTTTAACTGTGAGACATCTGGGAGAGTTAATGGGGATACTTGGGGTTGTGAAATAACTGTAGGTCCAAGGATATGTACGGGCAAAACAGTGGACTGACCTTGAACCAAAGGCAAAATATGAGGCTGAGTCAGTTTTGGCTGCTTCTGCAACTGTTAAATAAGAAAAAAAAAAGATTAAAGATATACTCTCCCACTTACAGTAAATATACTGATTACACACTTAAAAATATAAGAGTTCACCTCACCCCTGAAATTTGCTGATAATGTCCTACTAGTTGCTGAGATGAATAAACTTGTCCTGGAGCATTTATTTCAGCCTGTGGGATGTTAGAAACCATTTGAGAGCTCATCGTCTGGTTTGAGGAATAGACTATACTGGGCTGACTGGAAGTATCTGAATGTATAACTGATCCAGCTCCTGTCTCAGAAAAATTGTCACCTATAACAAAGAAAATAAGCAACAAGTAGAAGGAAAATACAAAGCACAAGTCCAATGGTTCTGTAAGGGTTATTTTAGTCTGATAACCTCAGGAAGCTTCAAATAAAATAAGTATACTGAAGAATTAATCAAAAACCATCATATAATGCTCCATCAAGCAATGAAATGTTGATATTTGTGATATAGCTAAAATTGTCTTAGTAAAGCAAACCAAAAGCCAAAGAACCACATAAAAATCAACGCCATTTGCTAGTCATTTCACATATATCCCTAACTAATCAACACTTGACATTAGGTTTTCACTAAAATGTTAAGTGTCATGGTCTTTCTCTTAGAACCTGGAGAAAAAAATACTGGCATTGTAGAACAATTGGATGTTATTATGCAAATATTGAATCCTTCTGGAGAAGAGACTACATTGCAGCAGAAGATAACAGGAACCCTATTAATGCTATACTTGAGCCTACAATACAAAGGGACTGAAAGTCCAGACAATTTCTTCTTGAGGAATCAATTGTATCTTTATATCTTTAGTGCCAAATTTTCATTATTAAAAGATTTATGTTAGATCCTCAAAAATGTTAATAAGGTAATTTTATTTATTCTCTAAACAAAACTAGACACTAGATTATAATTCTTATTCAACTAGCACCTTATACAAGTCACTTAAAATAATTTCTTAATTTTAAAATAAGGAAACTAGCTGGCCTATTTCAGAAATTTTGTAAAAAGCTTGCTGAAATGATAGTTAATAGAATGCTTTAAAAAACACAAAAGTGCTATTTAAAAAAATGGAATATATGATAAAAAATAGGTCACTGGCTACTGCCCCTCCTAAAAAATAAAAATTAGGGACTATAATTTCTCATTTATTTGTACTGACAAATTATTAACTGTGTTACCTGTAACCAAGGAGCAGTGCTGCTGTGGTTTTCTTTGTAGAAGTTGTTGTTGAACATGTTGATCAACTTCAGTTTCTTCACATTCAGTCCCAGTCTGCTGAGCAGGAGCATGGGGCAAAGTTGTATTCTGGTGCTGAGGGAATGTACTCCCCATACACTTCCACGGGGAATCCTGGCGTTCTTCCAAACAGCCAGCAGGTTTCTTCTCCCTTGTCTTCTTTATCAGGGTCACCCGGTCTCTAATAGATTTAGCAACAGCTTTGGAATCACTTTCATGGAAGAATCCAGACTTTACCTACAAACAAAACATAATAAGGAAACTATTTCTTTAAGGTGTTAACTTTTTACTAGTAGAGGTACTTTATGCCCCCAAATTCCAAATGTTTGTTTCTACTATATAATCTTTCTTAATCAAAGATATTCATAAATGCCAAAGCCTTTGATATACATGAGAAAAATCAATAGTTTTACCAAGCATATTAAAATGATTCTGGTTTCAAATAAAAAAGAAAAAAATTGATGTTTCAGTGCATACAATCTTCTTACAGGTAATGTCTTTATTAAATCACAACTATGTACATTAATGCATTTATGGCATACAATGTCCTGATTTTATATATGATTTGGAATGCTCATATCAAACTGGTTAACATAACCTTCACCTCACTTACTTGTGTCAAGACCTTTATACTCTACTCTTAATAGTCTTGACATGAACTCTTGCATTGTGCACAATAGGTGGCATCCCATCAATTACCCTCCCTTCTTCCAGCCCCACCTCTCTTCTTCTGTCCTTCATTCTGGACTATACTTGTGTTTTATCATCCATATGAAAGTGTGGATGATTATATATTGGTTTCATAACAGTATTGAGTACATTAGAGACTTTTTCTTCTATTCTTGAGATAGTTTTTATTAAGAATATGTTCCAGCTACATCCAGGTAAATATAAAAGATGTGAAGTCTACATCTTTTTATGGCTGCATAATATTTCATGGTATACATATACCACAATTTGTTAATCCTTTCAGGGGTTGATGGGTACTTGGGCTTCTTCCATGACTTGGCAATTATGAATTGGGCTGCAATAAACATTCTGGTGTAAATACCTTTGTTGTAAAATGAGTTTTGGTCATCTGGATACATACCTAGTAGAGGAATTTCAGGATCAAACAGCAGGTCTACTTTTAGTTCCCTAAGTGTTCTCCAAACTTCTTTCCAAAAAGGACATATTAGCTTGCATTCCCACCAGCAGTGCAGAAATGTTCCCTTCTCTCCACATCCACACCAACATCTGTAGTTTTGGGATTTTTGTGATGAGATTTAATCTTACTGGAGTTAGATGATATCTCAAAGTGGTTTTGATTGGCATTTCTCTGATGATTAAAGATTATGAGCATTTTTTCATGTGTTTGTAGGCCATGTGGCTATCTTCTTCAGAGAATCTTCTGTTCAAGTCTCTTGCCCACAAGGAAATAGGTCATTTGTTCTTTTCTTATTAATTACTTTGAGTTCTCTGTAGATTCTAGTTATAAAACCTTTGTCAGAAACATAACCTACAAATATCTTCTCCCATTCTGAGGGCTGTCTGCTTGCTTTACTTACTGTGTTCATGGCTGTGCAGAAGCTTTTTAGTTTGATCAGATCCCAGTGATATATTTTTGGTGTTCCTTCAATTGCCCGGGGGGGTCTTCCTCATAAAATATTTTCCCAGGACAATTTCTTCAAGTGTTTTCCCTGCACGCTCTCCTAGTATCTTTATAGTTTCCTGTCTTAAGTTTATTTTTTTTCTTTTTTTTTATTGAATGGTAACTATGTACATTAATGCACTTCTGGGGTACAGTGTGGGGTTTTCACATGCAATCCAAACTACTTCCATCAAACTGGTCAACACAGCCTTCATGTCATTTTCTCAGTTGTCTTAAGTTTAAATATTTTATCCAGTGAGAGTCAATTTTTGCTAATGGAGAAAGGTGAGGGTCCAGTTTCAGTCTTCTACAGGTTGCCAGCCAGTTCACCCAGCATCATTTGTTAAATAAGGAATATTTCCCCCAATGAATGTTTTTGATAGGCTTATCAAAGATCAAATGATGATAAGCGGCAGGGTTCATCTGTTGGTTCTTTATTCTGTTCCATATACCTACCACTCTATTTTTGAGCCAGTACCATGCTGTTTTGATAACTACAGATTTATAGTATAGCCTGAAGTCTGGTAGCATGAGTCCTCCTGATTTGTTTTTACTTCTGAGTAATGTCTTGGCTATTCAAGGTTTATGACTGCTATTAAGGTTTGTGAAAGATTAAAAAGGATTCCTCATTCAGCAACATTAAGTGCATACAATGTGCCCAGTACTGGGAGCACCAGAGAAACCAGGTGACTAAGTTGGTCCTTGTCCTGTATGAGCACACAATCTGGTAGTGTGAGATGGACATAAATTTAAAATGAGGTAGAAATGAGTTGCTGAAATAGCCCTAAAGTAGGAGCACATGTATCTATGGAGGGAATAGAGAAAGTGTCACAGAAGAAGGTAAAATTTGATCTGTATTAAACCCAAGAAAGAAACTTTCAGTCTACTGAGCAAGATGCAGAAAAAGTCTGGAGCACAGCGAACATTCTAGGCAGAGGGAAGTATGCTCACAGAAAAATACCACATCTTATTAGACATTAAAAGAGTGAGATGAGGAAAGTAATCTGCTTTATTTTCTCAGAAATAGGACTGAGCATAAGAGAAGATCACTTGAGGTACTATAGCATATCATTCTCAATCTTACAATCTGCTTTTTAAAGCATGTCTTGGGGATCCACAGACTCTGGGAAATTTCATGGTAGTTGAAAGATAATGAAAATGTTAAAAAGAGCACAGATATTTAATTTTGCTCCCTCTTAAAGCTCAAAAAACAACCCATAGTATATGTTTTTATATGTAATAAACCCACAAGTTGGTCCTAAGAGTAAGACAATAGCGATAAGATTTTAGACACCTTAGAATATGAAAAATAAATAAGACAAGTAATAACTGACCTACCAGACTTGAGAAAGGTGAACAGGGAAAACCAAAAATAATTCCCATATATACTGAAGAATACTCACAAGGCACAGGAACTGGCAATACTAGGTATGTCCAGAACTGAGACCAAAGTCAAAAGAGATGGCTAAATAAGGAAGACTAAATGAAAGGGTTTTGTGAAGCAGTTACTTAGGTCCCTGTGTTCCAATCTCCATTCCACATCTTTGAGTGATTTCTTTTTCCCTACCTCACAAGTCTGTGACAATATTCAGAAATGCCAGGCCGGGAGTTGTGGCAGGCGCCTGTAGTCCCAGCTACTTGGGAGGCTGAGGCAGGAGACTCATTTGAGCCCAGGAGTTGGAAGTTGCTGTGAGCTGTGATGCCATGGCACTCTACCCAGGGGGATAGCTTGAGGCTCCATCTCAAAAAAAAAAAAAAAAAAAGAAATGCCCAGTCCTTCTCGCTATTGGCTGCCAAAATAAAAATAAAACCTTTAACCTCCAAGAAATAGATTTAAATATGCTTCTCTGTAGAATCTAACCCAAGATGAAAGATTTAAATTATGGTATCAGAGATTCCCCAATTAACAAACAACACAGATACCCTACAGTAAAGGTTAAAGTTAGCAAGTCCTATACAAGCAATTCATCAGCTTATTGTCCTTGTGGTAGACAAAATTATGGCCTCTCGAAGATGTTGCCTCTTAAATCCTCAAGCCTGTGAATATAATGCGATATAATACCTATTATTCTGTTTGTTGTATAGCACAGTTGCCCTTAAACTGGGGAGAGTATCTGGGTGAATATTTTATTTTACCAATTTTTTTTTATTTTTTGGAGTCTCACTCCTTTGCCCTTGCTAGACATCATCATAGCTCACAGCAAACTCAAACTGTTGAGCTCAAGAGATCCTCTTGCCTCAGCCTCCCAAATAGCTAGGACTATAGGCATATGAAGACTACTGATTTTTGGACATTGATTCTATACCCTAAGACATTATTGTATATCTTCATCACTTCCAGGAGCCTTGTAGTTGATTCCCTGGGTTTTTCTAAGAGTAAGATTATGTCATCAGCAAAGAGTGAGAGTTTGACCTCCTCTGCCCCAATTTGAATACCCTTGATATCTTACTCTTGCTTGATTGCATTTGCCAGAACTCCCAGCACTATGGTGAATAGTAGTGGCAATAGTAGACATCATTGTCTGGTTCCAATTCTAAGTGGAAATGCCTTCAGTTTTGCTCCATTCAGTATGATATTGGCTGTCAGTTTGTTGTAGATGGCTTCTCTCAGTTTAAGAAATGTATCACTAATGCCTATTTTGTTAAGTGTTCTCAGAAAAGGATGCTGAATTTTATTGAATCCTTTCTCTACATCTATAGCAGTGGTTCTCAACCTTCCTAATGCTGCAACCCTTTAATACAGTTCATCATGTTGTGGTGAGCCCTAACCATAAAGTTATTTTCGTTTCTACTTCATAACTGTAATTTTGCTACTGTTATGAATTGTAACGTAAATATCTGATATGCAGGAAGTGTTTGCTGATGGTCTTAGGGGTCGCGACCCACAAGTTGAGAACCACTGATCTACAGAGAGAATCATATGGTCTTTGTTTTTGTTCTACTTAAGTGGTGAATTACATTTATGGATGTATGCATGTTGAACCAACCTTGCATCCCTGGGATAAACCTCATCTGATCATGATGTACTTTTTTATAATGTGTAGCTGTGTTCTATTTGTTAGAATTTTATGGAATATTTTTGTAGCAATACTCACTAATGACATTGGTCTATAGCTTTTTTTTTTTTTTGGTTAGTTTTTTTTTTTTTTTCTGGTTTTGGCATCAGGGTGATATTTGTTTTGTAGAAGGAGTTGGGGAATGTTCCTTCCTTCTCAATGTTTTGGAATAGGTTCTACAATGTAAGTATGAGCTTGTATTCTTTGACAGTTTGGTAGAATTCTAGTGTACTACCTTCTGGACCAAGAGTTTTCTTTCTTGGGAGCTTTTTATTATTGTTGCAATTTTAGAGTTTGATACTGGTCTGTAGGAGATAAGATCTTTTGCTCAGGACATGGCAGTTCGCCTCAATGTGCTCCTTCAGGAGACTGTTTCTGAGAAGCATTTCCTTGAGGATCTGAGCTTCTACACTTGCCTATTGATATGCAGGAATGTGTAGAGTGACTCTCCCTAGGGGGTGTGGAGAAACAGCCAAGGTGTTAGCTGGAGGATGGACAGACCGGTCTTGGAGCATTGGGTTCTATTCTCTGCCTTCTTCCCTCATTAGCAT